GAGACACAGAGGCTGAACAAGCCAGTTCTATAACCAGGCAAGGCCTCAAGTGGAGGGATTTGGATACCAATCCAACCACTAAACCTTCAACCTACAGTTTGTTCTGCCGGCCTTGCACAACTGTCATCAAACAGGCCAAAAAGACTTTATCTGCAACCAAATGGAGGCAGATGCAAAGTCCCACAGCCAAACATTAGGCACAGTTCAGAGTCCTTTGGAGGAGGGGAAGAAAGGATAGGAGGAACCAGAGTGGTCAGGGACAGCAAGAGAACATGGCCCACAGAATCAGTTGACCATGATTCATGGTGTCCGAGGTCAGAGAGCCTGTAGGGTCTGACCTGGGTCCCTTCCATATATGTAATGGCTGAGTAGCTTGGTGTCCTTGTGAAACTCCCAACAGTGGGAGCAGGCTGTCTCTGACTCTTTTGCCTACTCTTTTCCTCCTACTGGGTTGCCTTGTCCAGCCTTGATGTGATAGTGTGTGCCTGGTCCTATTGTAGCATATTATGCCACGCTGATGTACTTGGAGGCCTGCTATTTTCTGAGGAGAGACTGTGGGGACATGGATCTGGGAAAGTGGGGAGATGGGGGGAGGAGACTGGGTGGAGGGAAGAAAAGGTAAACTGTGGTTGGAATATAATCTATGAGAAGAAGGATAAATAAATTTAAAAAAACTGCTTTAGGTTAGTATAGAAAGTAACATTTCATTTGGCATCTGCATCCATCCATCCATGTCACTGTATTTTGTTCTTCCTGGTTTCTCTGCCTTACTACCCTCCATGCCTTTTTCTTCTTTACTGAAAACAGATGGCCTCCCTTCCACTTTCATTTCACATGTACTCATTCATGTCTTTCTGCAGACTTTAAGATCTCGTCTTCCCTTCTCATCATCCCCTTTCTAGTTGCATGATCTATGTACTCATGCATGAATACATTCATATATCTACTCATGTATAAACCTTAAGTCTAGATGATGCACATGAGAGAAAACACATGGTATCTGAGCCTGGCTGGTATCAATTAATACTGTTTACAGTTCATATAATTGCATTATATATATTTACCACATTTTCTTAATCCACTCATTTGTTGATGAACATCTAGACTGTCCAATCTCTGAGCAATTGTGAACAGTGCAGTATAAACATGTATGTACAAGCATCTCCATGGTATGTTGCTTTAGAGTTCTTTAGGAAAATATTCAGGAATAACATGTGTCATATGGTAGGTAGTTTTCTTTGGAGAAACCTCTATACAGATTTCCTTGGTGGCTGCATAGGCTTACACTTCCACCAACAATAAGTAAGGTTCTTCATATCTTTGCACTGCATGAAATTAAAGTCTCTGCACTATGGTGATATGTTGTTTGTTCTTTAACAAAGTTTGCCTGAAGATCAGAGTGCAGAACTACTCATAAAGGCCAAGCAGTGGTGGCACATACCTTTAATCCCAGAAATTGGGAAGCAGAGGCAGGTGAGTTTCTGTGAGTTCAAGGCCACCCTGGGCTATCCAAGATTGATCTAGTCTAAAAGAGAAATAGAACCAGGTGGTGGTGGCTCATACCTTTAATCCCAGTACTTGGGGGTCACATGCCTTTATTCCCAGCACTAGGGAGGTAGGTAGGGAGCACAGGAGTGTTATGGTTGTGTAGAGAGAGGAATATAAGGTGGGAGGAGACAGGAGCTCATTGCATTCAGTCTGAGGATCTGTAGAAACGGATCACCCCTTTAGTCTCAGAATTCAGTAGAGGCAAGAACTTGTGGCTGGCAGCTCTGTTTCCCCGATCTTTCAGCATTAACCCCTATATCTGACTCCAGGTTTTTATTAATAAAAACCAATTAGAATTTGAGCTACATTGAACTGCAAGGACTTGTCTTGGGTACACAGAATCACCATCCCTGGTTGTAACCATTTGTTTTAACTCCATCCTGGCGGGAGCCAGAAACTGATGACGGCATTTCTGATTATCAGGTAACTAGTGAGTACCATCATGCTTCAGTGTCAAGGGCTGAGGCTGAGGAATGCATGGCTATAGAAGACTGGTCTTCTACACTGAGGAGAGTATCATAGTCACACAGAATCAGAGAATACCAGAGATTTACATGAGTAACAACTCTCTTCTTTAGGTGTCTAGACCTACTTCTGTCCTATCAATTAGGAAAAATCACTAAGCACTTTGGGAAGTTTTCATACTTTTATTTTTTAAGATCCCTTGCATTTCCAAGAATGTACCTACCATTTAAACTACATTTTGTTTTGTTTGGAATTTTACTAAGTCCTTGAATAAAACTTACATTAAACAAAAAATGTAAGTATCAATGATAGGCATTTTTGACTTGACTTCCTATATTTAGTATATATAAGGTGGAATATATCAATTTTTGGAGAAATGATGTATATAAGTGGATTATACAACCTAAAAGTTTTTCTTGTAGGACAATAAAGACAGTGTTGCCAAATATTTTACGAAAGAGCTAATGGATCTTAGCTAGTTTGAATCTCTGATATTCTCAAAAAGGAGACTTTGCTCATTGTTTCTACTTGATGATATGGTATAGCTCAGATTTTAAATCCTACTGAATATCCCACTTGCTGGAAAATTAATTTATGTTTTCTTCTATCAGCTTGAAATTACAGCATGAACTTGAATAGCAATGTTGGTTTTCACATATATTTGAATAGTTCCACTACTTAGTGGCTCTTAGTTTTCAACTGAATAACACTGTCTTTTTTTTTTAAAGATTTATTATATATACAGTGTTTTGCCTGCATGTATATCTGCATGCCAGAAGAGGGCACCAGATTTCATTATAGATAGCTGTGAGCCACCATGTGTTTGCTGCGAATTGAACTCAGGACCTCTGGAAGAGCAGCCAGGGCTTTTAAACCCTGAGTAATTTCTCCAGCCTCTATAACACTGTCTTAACTGTTATATTCAAGTACTTGCTACCATGATTTCAGCACTGGTGAAGGAGTTTCTGAACTTTTTTTGGTATATTTATAGTATCAATGAAACACACACACACACACTAATTCACTTTCTACAGTATCTCTCCTTCAGAGTTCCTTTGTTGTTTCAAAGAATCTTATCCCCAGTCCACTTTAGCCAATCTTTTAGTCTTCAATTTCTCTATGGACTTTTCCTGCTACTAAACTTCATCACAAACCTTATGCCTTTAGTTACATTTCTATTTAGGAAAAATACCATAGCAGGACTGGGGTATTGATGTGATAAGCCTGACCACGCAATTTTTGTTGAGTGCTATAGTGAAACTTGGACTGGGGTATTGATGTGATAGGTCTGACCACGCAATTTTTGTTGAATGCTATAGTGAAACTTGGACTGGGGTATTGATGTGATAGGTCTGACCACGCAATTTTTGTTGAGTGCTATAGTGAAACTTAGTGGGCCATCCTAGTAAGAGTACGGTTGACAATAAAGCTGAGCACATTGTGGACTATGGATGCCCAACTCAAGAGATTTCAGAGGGGAACAATAAAGGTAACTGGACTAGAGACCTGCCTTGTGATATCCTGGCAAAGGATATAGCTGTTTTTGCCTGTGTCCTAAGAATCTACCAGAGGTTAAGTTGATGAGTTTTGAACTAATTTCATTGGCAAAGGAGATTTCAAGACAGTCTAATATCAACTGTCAAGTGGTTACTAGTGGTCACTCTCATGTCGGTCTATAATGAAAAAGGGCAAGCAGAAATAAAAGGTGTGTAGTTTGAGGAGAAAGAGAACTGTAGAAATTTAATGTTGGAGCCATGGTTTGTGCTGAAAGAGATAAAGAGAAAGGCAATAAAGGGAGTGGTGCCGTCAGGGAGACCCCACCCAGCTGATTCTGCAACTTGTGAAAATAAAAAGGCCTAAAGGATCACCTGTTCCTAATGAGCAATACTAAATCAAAACTTATACAGATATAATTCAAGGAGGGAGCCAGATTCCATCCCAAGCAGGCAGAAAAATCTGGCAGCTTTGGCCACAGGGTTCTAGCTTTACAGTTTTAAAGGATACAGGAATATGGGGTTTAAGAAGAGCTGCTATGGATAGATGTGTGGCAGGGGTGTCCCCACATGGTGAAGCTGTAAAAGTGAAGCTTAGATTATTTTGGAGATCCCAAGATGTTGGAGATGCCAAAGACTACCAAAGAGCTGCAGACAGGGAGAGGAATGAGCCCGAGAGAGACAGAGAGAAAAGTGTTGTAGTCAACAAAGCTAGGAGTATCCAAATTTGAATACTTGGTTCCCAGTTGGTAGAACTTTTGGAAAGGATCAGAATGTGTGGCTTTGGAGGAGGTATGTCACTGGTGGTGGGCTTTGAGATTTTAAACCTCACACCATTCCCATTTGACTCTCTGCCTCATGTCTGTAGATCAGATTTAAGTTCTCAGCTACTGCTTGAGTGCTATGCCTGCCTATAGCCATGTTTTCAGTCATGATCATGGACTCACCCTCTGAAACTGTACCCTCCATTAAATGCTTTCAATTATAAGTTGCCTTGGTCATGGCATTTTGTCATGGCACTTGGTTAACAGTAAAGCAAGACAGAGGCTTAATGGATAGGTAGATGGATGCTATTCAATTTATTAAGATATTTCATCTAGAGCACAGACCTGTGTCATTATATTTAAAAGGGGTACAATCATCCAATGTTCTTTCTCCTCGAAGATCCATCTCCCCCCCCCAAGTCATTTATGTAATATGTCACAGTAACTAATTCTTGAAATCTACTAGTGTACTCAAAAAAGTTCAAAAAAGAAATAGGGCCCAGGAGACAAGATACTTGGTCAAACAGTTGTCACAGAAGCATGGCAACTAGAGCTCAATCTCCAGAGAACCTATGTAACAAGGCTGGATGTGGTGGTATGTGCTGGTATCTCAGCACTGGGTCACAGTTCCCTGGAGCTCAGTGGCCAGCCAGCCTGTACCTATATGCATTCACATACTCAGAATAGTTCCATTCAACATAATAAAGAGAACACAAATAATTCATCTTACCCTCTCTTAACAGATTCCAAAAACTGAGCATTTGTTGGGTCATTGTAAGGTCTCAATTCTCCATCATCTAAACTGAAACCATTGCTCCACAGCTTCAGTAAAATCTGAACCTTTTGGAGACAGAGGGGAAAAAAGAATTCACATTCAAACAATTTTAAGTTTCAACATTTTATCTCCCAACTTACTACCTGATTAAATTATCTTAAAATACAGAGATACTTGCTTTAGTCAAAAATAAACCAGTGTGTCCATGTGTTTACTTAGCAGGTTTATATTTTAGCTTAAACCACTGATAATAGCTGGAAATAGCAAAGTCCCACAAGTGGAGCCTGGCCTCTGAGCAATCACTGAGGAAACAGAAGCAGTGAGAAGACAGATTCTGCCTGGTACCTGTGACTCACACTGCTCATCCACACCCTAAATCTCTTCAGTTCCACAGCTTAAACATTCACACCTTCCAAGAAACTGTTAATATCTAAAATAAATTTATAATTTTAATATTGACAAAGGTAACAGAAATGATTTCAAATGTTCTTACAATTTAATTCACACTGTATTATAAAAGTATACAATTTTCAAGAAAAAAATATAAGAGTTATACATTCTGCCTGGCAGTGGTAGCATATGCCTTTATTTCTAGCACTTAGGAGGCAGAGGCAGTTTGAGTCCAGTATGGTCTACAGTGTGAGTTCCAGGACAGCCAGAGTTACACAGAAAAACCCTGTCCTGAAAAACAAAAAACAATACATACAGACACTCCAATATAGCAATAGAAATAACTGCAACTGAAAGCACACAGGTCCTTTAACTCATGCTAATGAGAGAGACTGTATTCATAGTGTCAACTATTAATTCAGAAAGAGGAAAAACAGTACCAACTAGAGCTGAATGCTTAAACATTTTGGTGACTGTACCTACATCTTGCAGCTGATTTTCTTCATAGATATATTCTGACCGCTTACAGAAGGAACTGCCCAATCTGTACCCTCCACCTGTAAATGACTAAAATACATGATAAATGGGTTAAGAATTCACTATGGCTTATAGTCAAAATGTTATTCATATACTTGATATTTCAAAACTAGACAAATAATTATTGGCCAGATTCATAATGACTAGGAAAATATATTGGAATGAAGACCTTAAGTTATAAAAAAGTGAATGTGAGAAGTTAAATGTCTTTTCACATAAACCTTAGTTAACTCAAAAAGTGAAATAACTTAGTTTGATCCCCAGAAGCCACACATGGTAGAAGGAGAGAACAGACTCATGCAAGTTGTCCTCTGACTGCCACATGTAGATTGAGGATATTTGTGTACATGAGTACACACATAAAATCAATGTTACAACAAAGAATTCTGCATGTTTTTATAGGCTTTTACATTTTTTTAATGTTTTAATTGAAATAGAAATTACATCACTTTCCCCTTCCAGCTTCTCTCATTCCCCCACTCTCAAGTTGGTAGCCTCTTTTTCATTCTTGTTACATATATACATGTATGTAAATACAGATCTCATACTGAATGCTTTTGTTGGTGCTGTGTACATGGTTTCAAGGCTGGTCACTCTGTATTGGATAAACAGCAAGAGGTTCATCTCTAGGAGAGGTTAACTCTCCGACTCTCAGCAGTCAACAGTTGCCTGTAGTTCTTAGGGGTGTGACCACATGCAATTTTCTCCCTTCCATGTTAACATGTCCATTGAAACTTCCCGTCTTGTTTATGAAGCCATTTCCCGGAGTCTGTCACAAAGCTGACTTCCTCGTGTTCTGGCTCTTGCAGCCTTTCTGCCCCCTCTTCTGAGATATTCCCTGAGCCATAGATGCAGGAGCTGTGTTGCAGATGTATCTGCTGAGGCTGGGCTTCCCCATGACCTGTTGATCTCTGTACTGTGTCCACTTGGGGTTTCCTGTGACCATCTCCATTTTAAGCTGTTTTCTTAGCTACAGTAAGTCAGCTATCATCACAATTTGATATTAACTGCATCAAGTGTCAGCTATGATTACACTTTTGATATTGCTATACTGAATACACAGTCTGCAGGTAGGATAATCTGAGGAGAAATGGCTATTCTTTTAATTACCATTTGCATCACAAATGCGCTTTAAATTACAACCCTTCTTTGTTCCACATACTAAATCAATTTCACATTTTTCTTACAGAATCGGGGAACATGGAAATGTTAAAATGACCTCAAGGCTGGATGCCAAATACTGACACTGAAGTTTCGTGGAGAACAATCATTCTCAACAATGGGTGCCAAAAAGATTGCAAAAGCTTTACTGAGACACATGTCCAAATACCTCTCAACTTCCCAGAAACAGTAGTTTTAAGACAGCACTGACCTTAGGTTTGTCATCACTTGAAGATCTTGTGGCTTCGTTTAGAGGGACGGCCCCATGTTCCCTTGCCTCTTTGAAAAGTTCATTCACAATTTTCCCAGTTGGAGGTTGAACTATATGTAATCCACCATAGTCCTGTTCACCTGAATAAAGCCTTTAAACATCACAGCTCATAAATAAAAACTCAGAATAGACATAAACTACTCTAAAATAAGAAGCTACACCATCATATGAAGTAACTTTTATTCATAAAGAAAGAATGCCTGAGTTCTTTAGACATATTGAACTTTAAAATGGAACTCAGGCAAAAACAAAATAGGGGATAGTTTGTATCCCTTCTGAGTTTGTGGAGACTCTGACAACTTCAGCACCCAACTGTAGGCCTTGTTTCCTCCCTCAGCCCTGGGTGACTGCTTATGGCTTCCTATTTTCACAGACCAAGCTCTTCTGTGGTGGCACCATTATATTCCTTACGTAGTAACTAAAATCTGCCCTGACTCTAACTTCATAACAGCTACAAAAGATAAATTTCCACTCACCTAAGATTAATATTCTAATCTTTCATGGTTGATTTTCCTGCCCAGAATATCAGAAAATTTCATCAATGAAGTAACATATAGAGACTTCCAGTACAAGGTGACAAGAGTGTACTTTTTATTTTCCTACACCTTTTACTCCAGTTCCCAACTCACAGTAACTCACAAAACAATAGTGGAAACCAGAACAGTCCTGGTCAAGGAATAGAGGTTCCCTCCAAGGTTTTCTCCTAAACTGGCAGGTGAGATAGAGAACTGGCAGTTCTCATCTCCTGCAAGTGAAAGAAAATCTACATGGACACAAGCGTGTACACCAGTGGAGTCCCATTACGCTGTGGGGAAAGACACCACTGTCAGTGTCACTGAGCACACTACAATCCACAAAGCCTTCTTCCCATGCGTACACTGCATACTGGTAGTGTGCGTGTGTGTGTGTGTGTGTGTGTGTGTGTGCGCACGTGCGCACGCAGCAAACAAGAAATAAACAGCTTGCTTGTCTCTGAGATAAGTGCAGTGTAGGAGAGGAGGAACGGGCTAGCACATGGCCTCAGGTAACTGTGACAAAGAGGCAGCAGAGCAAAGCTTCCTGCCATGTTTGCCCCCAGTATAGCCTCTTCCCTTCCTGACTCAGGTCCACAATCCTGCCTCTTTGTTTGGTGACAAAGACCTGAGAAAACTGGTCATAGGAAAAAGTTTAGTTTGTTATGGCCTCCCCAGAGACCATGCAGCATTTCTTCAAGCAGCTTCACTGTTCGAACTTTTACATTCAGAGCCACAACCCATCTGGAACTGATAACTGCATGTTGCATAAGGGAGAGGCCAATACTAATGTTTTCCTTTAGACTATGCCATGAGATTCCCTCTCCCTGTTGCTCTGCAGTGGCATCGTTGTCAGAGCCAAACAGCCATCTCCAAGGGTGGGAGACCCAGGGTTCCAGTCCTGGCTCACTTGTCAGTCTCAGGCCTCTGCAGCTTCGGTATAAGGCTTCACATGACTACTTTATGTCCTGTGCTTGATGGGCGCTTCATGCATTCTCTAGCCGTTCTTTGTGGAGACAGGATCAAGAGCATCTACAACTGCTGCAGTAACAATATTTTCCACTTCTGTTTTCTCACTTCACAAGGAACTTTGTCTTTCCCTGACTTTCCCAAAGGCAACCCTGTTTGTCCGTCTTTGTAGTGGGGTTCCAACCATGCCTTGTTTTTTTTTTACTAAGTTTCCTTTCTTCCCTTTTCCATAATAACATGTCGATGCCCTTTCCTTCCGTTTTCCTCTTATGTGAAACTCACTTGACCAGTATTTATCCACTCCCATTGCAACCTCAAAAATTGCTCAAAGGTACGATTTCGCCTCCCTTTAAAAGCTTCTTTTCCTCCATTCTCTTACCATGCAACTCAAGCACACCTCAAACTTATGATTTTCCTGCCTCAGTCATGCATGTGTTGGTATTATAAGCAACACCATCATGTCTAGCTCTTTCTTCCTTTGACTGGTTGGTTGGGGTAGGAGTGAGACTGTCTCATGTATATGAGGCTGGCCTTGAACCGAACTACATAGCTGACACTGACCTTCAGCTTCTGATGGTCCTGCATTTACCTCCCCAGTGTTGGGAATACACATATGTGACACCAGGTCTGGCCCTAACTTGCTGATGTTTAAAAGTTTGTAAAGACCTTAAAGAATAAAGTATCTACTGAGCAGCTCTGCATGAATGAAGCCCTCTCAGTTCCATGCTGAATCCATCTCCTCAGCAAGCACAGTTCTCCGACAGGCTCTGAACCTGTCTCTTTCCTACTTATGCCCTGTAGTCCTTCTCATAAAGTTTCTACAACCAAGTGTTAGAAAGTACTAGAGCAATTCCATCCTCTCTCCTTCATTTCAGTGTACTTAGACTACCCCCAATTTTATTCTTGTCCCTTAGACTACCCCTAGCTAAGGTGCCTCTTTCTTTTCTCCCACTGTTGTAACTTTCCATTTATTTTTCTAAAGGGATGTACCTTTTTCTAAAATGATTAATAGTTAATATTATCAAAGGGCAAATATATTTTCATTCAGTTCTTATAATAAACTCTCCCCCATTTTCCAGATAAGAAAACAGGCTAGGAGAGATTAATGGAAAAGACACACACACACACACACACACACAGAGCACATGTACATGAGGGACTGAGAGGCATCTATTTTTAGAAGCAGAAATCTTGTCACTATATCTCTTTTTCACAGAATGAACTTTAATGCACACTAGCATCTTGGTGACTTTTAAATGAATGCAACATAATAATGGGGGCCAACTACAAAATGAACATCTAAGTCATCCCATTCAAAATACACTAAGGAACCAAGCCTTTAATCCAGCACATGGCCTCATAAGTGTAGACTTGTGATATATCCGTTAAGTCCCAATCTGGCCATGCCTCTACTTATCCAACATCTCTTGTTTGTCACTAATTCTGCAGTTTCTTCTTCCCTCTCCTGTCCTTTCATTACATTTTCTTCTATGCCTCTTTGTCCCTGACCTTCCAGGCTTACTTAGATTTTAGCAGTTGTTTAAGGTCCATGGTAGGCATATCACAAAGTTCATGTCATTAATTCTGAGTACAATGCTACATAAATAATGATCTATAGAGGACACACCTGAAGTTCTGCTGCTGGTATACAACCTGTCATCAGCGAATTTGTTAAAGAAGCTGTCAGACTGTCCTGAAAAGTTTTCTACAGATTACACACTTCTTGTAGGCTAAATATTATGTCTAATATTTTTGAAAATGAAAATTCGTTGGTGTTTTATTTAGTTTCTACTGACCAAAAGCAAACCAGGGGAGGAAAGGGTTTATTCCATTATACAGGGGTTATCCATTACTGAGGAGTAATGTCAGGAACCTGGAGATGGGAACTGAAGCAGGAGAATTGCTACTCATTAACTCGGTGTCTATGGTTTGCTTATACACCCTAATACCATCTGCCCAGGGATGGCACCTCCCAGCTGGACTGGATCATCCACATAATTAATTAATTAATCAATTAAATGCTCCCACAGACATGCCCATAGGCCAGTCAGATAGAGGCAATCTCTCAACTAGAGTCCTCTTCCAGGAGACTCAAGCTTGTATCAAGCTGACAAAAACTAACTAGTACAGTTGGCTTAAAAAGCCAGTGTACCAGGTGTGGTGGTGCTAATAGTCTCTGGAAATGTCAATGTTTGGGAAGCTGAGGCAGGAGGATTGCCCGTTTGAGGGTAGCCTGAGTGACAGTGAGTTCCAGGCCTGCCTAGGCTACATACCCTGGAAGCCACAGAACAAAATGATTTCTTTTATTTCCCTGAGCTTGAGTGAGTTTTATTAAAATGGCAGGAAATGGGGAAGGAAAGAGAAAAGAGGTAGAGAGACACAGAGAGAGGACAGAAGAGAAGAGAGAGACAAGAAAAGTCCTGTCTGCCCCAGGGGAACAGAGGTCGAACAAAATGATTTCTAATACTGCCCTAGGAGGACATGACAATTAGCAGCTGCCTGTATAAAGTGGAAACAGGGAACAGGGCAAATGTTCTCACTGAACATAAAGCAGGGAAGTATGAATTGTATGGAATGCTGAATAGTATCATGTTAGAAAAAAGACTGACAATGATCTCTGTGTGTACTGTACATGAAGTGATTAAACAGTCTCAGTATTTTTTAAAGAACTCACCCTTTTGAGTGCTAAACAATTCATGAGACCAAACTTGAGGCAAAAAGTCCTTATAGTAATTACTGGTTGGAGAGGTATAGCTCAGTAGTAGAAGTATATGGTTAATATGTGTGGAACACTAAGTTTAATCCATGACACCCCCCCAAAAAAACAAAGAGCATTATCAAATTAAAACTACTAACAACATGTTCCAGACAGCATAAGAAAATGCATCCACTGAAGAGAGAACTAGGGATTGAATCCAAGGCCTTGCATATGTTAGGCAAAACTCTGCCACTGAACCACATCCACAGACCTTGGTAGTTTGAGGCAGCTCAAACTGGCTTGAACTCCTTGGTAGTCTAGGACGACCTTGAACTCCTGATCACAGAATTAACTCAGTGAAGCACAAGGAAAATATTTACATGTCAATCTTGTAAGAATTCAAATATTAGATTTACTGCACTGAGAGCGAAATAAAGCCATTTTCATGTGCTCAAACTAGGGCGCCAAAGACTAAATACTGCACTACTGAATGAGAAAAACTCAGGTACAGAAACATATTAAATACTTCAAAAAGTATTTTTTGGGGGATATATGCATTAAGGAGGTAACTAAAATATTACACGCATCAACAGCTACTCATACATCTATCAAGTGAGAGTTAAGTGAAAGGAGAGTATAGTCAAACCATGCCAAGATACCAACCTGCTGATTACAAAGACACACTGTACCTGACAATGCAGTGATGTGGTGGTCAGCACCTTAACCAAGTGAGCATATCACCAAGAGTGGGGAAACTTGGAATTATATGGTTCCTGATGTGACATAATAAAAAGCAGACAGTGTCACTTATCTAGTACTCTTGACAAAAATGTTTAACAAGAATCTATGAGGAAATAGTGATCTAGAATGTGGGACATTTTGAGACATCTGGTGTATACTTTTTTAAAAAAGTAAATGTTATAAATTTTAGATTATATAGGTGAGCTAAAAAAGAATTCATGCCCTGAATTCAAAACTCAACACAGGAAAACTCAAATGCAACGAGAAGTCTCTATTTGGGTCCCCAAAGGTGACTGGAAAAAGTGACGTCATGGCACCACTGCTAATTTTTAAGTTATACTTTGTTATTTAGGTTATTACTTTATTCTTAGGGGGATACACGATAAGATATCTACAAGTGAGTGTCATGAAGGTATAATTTGCTTTCAGATAGTTGAGTAAAAAAGAGACAGCATGCATGAATGACGGCACTGCTATGACACATTAACAACTGGCGAATAAAAGTAAAATATTTAATGTTTATTCATTTTCCTAACCTTTACGGTTTCTATGGGCTTTATAATTTGCAAAAGAAAATATAGGGGAGAAATTATAAGGATTTTTCTTATCATTCAAGTACAGGAAGATATATCATTTTTGTCTCCCCTACAAAAAGAATGTGAAGTGACAAAAACCTAATGTCCAGTTAATATTTCTACTTCTGATAAAATTGTATTTTTTGAGAATGAGAAATAATGAGAAACTCCCGGATTTACAGATTCTTCGATGGGGGACCAAAGACTAGAACAGGCTCTGTGTGTGGCAGTGAGAAACCCACTGGCCCTCAACTGACAGACTGCTGCTTTGGAAGCTGGGCATTGGTGGCGCACGCCTTTAATGCCAGCACTGGGGAGGCAGAGGCAGGCGGATCTCTGTGCGTTCGAGGCCAGCCTGGTCTACAGAGCAATGAGTTTCAGGACAGTCTCCAAAACAATACAGAGAAACCCTGTCTTGAAAAACCAAAAAAAAACAAAACAAAACAAAACAGAATGCCGCTTTGGAAGGAGAGGGTCTGTGCATTTCACCAGAGCTCAATGGGCTGGATGACAAACATTAAAGACTCATCATGTCTGAGAAAAAGGATCTCATATGGTGCCTATGATAATATCAGACACTAAGGTAATTCTTCAAAAGTTTCTTTTTGCTAACTCTGAAAATTTTACAATATCTATTTTTTAAAAATTAAAAAAAACCCTCAAGGTCACTTAAAGTAGTTTAGAAAGAGTGGGCTAAGCAGGGTAGATGTCTGGAAGCAACACTCACCGATGCGGCAATGTTCTTGGGCTCTTACAGGCTGCAGCTGTAGATCTGTTAGGCTTGGAAGACTTGCATTTCACTTCATCTTCATATAACCCTGCCAAGGCCAACTACACATAACGACAGACTTGTTATTCGGTTAGAAATGGAAATAGACTTCTAGACAGCCGAGGAACAGGCACCAGCTTGAAACTGAGCATTAAACATCTCCTTTGAAAAACTGAAGGCTGGTGCATAAAAAGATGTTGTCTTTCTAAAACAGCTAACTCCCGAGGTCTCATATTATTCATTTATTCAAACTGCCTTGGGCGAGAGAAAATTTGTTATGAGAATTATTTTAATTAACTATTCAACAGTTTCAAAAACTGAGTTTGGCAACACAATGGTTTCACATTTGGACCTGGACCTGTGTAACTTCCAGGTTTTAAAGAACTTTTGAGGATAGCTTGTGATATTGCCAATTTCTCTATCAATCTCATAATATAATTTCACTTAGATGTTTTCAAAACCCAAGAACATAAAACAAGTTCAAAAGCATTGCTTTAAAGTCTATCAGACACAAATTTTATCAAGTTCAGGGAAAAGAGCTAAAAAAATGAGATGATGAATTAAATATAGGTTTTAACCATTTAATGCAAAATTACATATTGCAGATATACAGCTGAATACCTTCTAAATAAAGTAAAAATATATTTGTCCTTGAAACAGAATTTAAAATATTAATCTAATTATTACAGGTTTCTGCCCCCCCCCTCTACTTTTGCTATTTGGGGCAATAATTTAAAATTTTCAGCAAGGCATAGTGGTGCACGCCTTTAATCCCAGCTCTTGGGAGGCAGAAGCAGGAAGATGCCTGTGATTTTGAGGCCAGTCTGGTCTACATAGTGAGTTCTTGGACTGTCAAGGTTGAGTAGAGAGGCCCTGTCTCAAAAAATAAGCACAACAAAAGAAATTTCCTTAATGCTCCCCGCTGACTATTCAATCGGTACGATTATGATCTTTGGGCTCCCATTCACTTTACAATCAAAGCCTTCTCTCCCACCAAGTAACTATCTCTGTGTATTCTTTCCTCAGAAGAAAAAGACGAATAAATAACTGAGGCAAACTCAGCCAGGCATTTTCCAGGGCTGGAAACTGAACCCAGGCAGAGCCTCATGCATGTTAGATAAGCACTCTAATACCTAGCTACATCCCCTGGCCAATGAAGGTTTGATAGGCTTTTGAGTAAACACATTTAAAATACACACTCAAGACACCAAGAAGCTATTTTTTTCTTTCCTAATCGTTTTTATTACTCCTTCATCCTATCTCTCAAAGATGCATCAACTTCCCTAGAAATGCAAATCAATAGTGCTGACCTCTTAAGAACTGAATTAAATTTTTTTTACATAGATCATATTGTTTTGAAATTAAAATGTAATTCCACCATCTCCCTCTTCTTCCCTCCCATGGTCACACATCCCCTTGTTGTCTCTCAGCTGGATCCAAGTTTTTTAACTTAGGCACTTACTGTGTAAGTTTGGTGGATTATTGAACATTGCTGAGTTTAGTTTTTATGTCTTTAAATGCCTACCAAGATTTTTGTCAGCATCAGTTTAAAGTAAAGCACAGGCACGTCCACCTCATCACTACAAGGCCTATTTTTAAACCGACACTGCTTGTGTCAGTGTCCCTGTTTTCATTCTCTTCCAGCAGAGTCATCTGTGTCTGTCTGTCACCCTTTACAGAGCTAGAGTCATCAGAGAGGAGGGCGCCTCAATTGAGAAGATGCCTCCATAAGATGGAGCATTTCCTTAAGTAGCTATTGTGGATGGTGCCACCCCTGGAATGGGGGTCCTGGGTTCAATAAGAAAGCAGGCTAGGCAAGCCATAGGGAGCAAGCCAGTTAAGCAGCACCCTCCAAGACTTGTCTCCAGGTCCCTGCCCTGCTTGAGTTCTTATCCAGACTTCCTTTGATGATGAACAGTGATATGGCAGCTTAAGACAAATAAAACCCTTTCCTCCCCAATTTGCTCTGGTCATAGCAATAGTAATCCTGACTAAGACAACTAGTTCAGTGGCTTCAGGGTCTCCAGTAGCCAACCAATGCTCAATACCATTATAACTTTGCACTGGTTTGGTCTATTAAAGCTACTTTACAAGCTTGTTTCAAATCTGTGGATACCATACAACAGTACCCTCTACTACTTATGGATTTGATGTCTTATTTATCTCCAAATTCTCCAAAGCTTGAGCAGAAAGTTACAACAGTAAGTGGTCGGTATGTTTGGTTAAAGAATGAAGATTAGCTATTAAAAATGTTCTGACAAGATGTGAGAATTCAGGCTCATTTATTCTTACTTATAACCCCTAACATTCGTTTAATTATTGAATTTTATCAGTGATCTCATGAGGAGATAGAACAATGCCTACAATGAGCACGTAGTGTTAGCATCTGATAAAACAGCATTTATTTAGTGGACAAGTGTTCAGCTGACTAATGTCAACGTCACAACACATCGAGTTTTATTTCTGTTACATTGTTTTATGGATGACCTCTTACAAGTAGGTTGTAACCACCGACTGAACTGTTTTAAGCTCTCGCTTTTAAAAACGGAAGCTTTTTGATAAGGGGTGGGGGGGGGAGACTTTAATGTGCAAGTCTTCAAATCTGAAAGAACATCCAAGAGAACAAACAAATCAACATGCGTTATTTTTAAGTTACTTTTGAAGTGATGGCTGACACTGGCCATGGTAACTCTCCGGAAGGCAGGCAGCATCAACTGGGAGCCAGCCAGACGGCCCCGCAAAATGACATTCCAAACAGCTACTTGGTGCACCGTGAGGAAGGGGATCCAGGTGCTGGCGCCTGCCGCACGAGCAGCGGTTTCCACGCCCCCCACCCCGCAATGCGCTTCCGGGAGAGACCCTGGTCATCGCTCTCCTCAGGCGAGGTACAGCGTGGCTGTGGCCCCCGCCCTCCCGCCCGCGCCGCGCTCCTGCCTCCGCACCTGTAAGTCCCGCGCACTCGGGGGCCGCGGCCTCGAGGACCCTCTCTCGGGCTCCTCGGGCTCCGCGCGGCCGCCCTCCGCCATCTTCCACCGGCTCGGCGCCCGCCCCGGAATCGCGACTTCCGGGATGGTTGCTTAGCGACCGTGGGAGGGGCGGAGCCACTCGGTGACCACCCCCTCCGGGAGGGGGCGGAGCCGTGTCGCCTTACGTCAGTCCTGGCTCCTTTCCCCTCCCCCCCCACCAGGCTGGGGGCCCTCGCTGTGGGCTTCCGGTCCCGCCGACCCTCCAGTCTTTGTCTGCAGTCAGTGCCATTCGCTGGGCGACACTGTAGGTGGTCCTAGAGCGCAGCGACGGCTTGCGGGTTCGTTTAACTCAACGGATGAACGTTACTGCTTCACCTTACAAATCTTGGTCGAATCTCTCATTTTCCTTTAGCAAGGATTGGGGTCCGTCCCTTCGCGTGGAACCGTATGGAGGAAGAGCAACACAGTAAAGCTTTTGGCAATGAAATGGAGACTCTTAAGCAATTCCTCCTTTCCCCACCCCCACCCCGCGGGATTGAACTCTTTCCTGTTTTATTCCAAGCATTTACAACCTCCCAGGGATTCCCAAGGTAGAAAAAAGAAGTCCGGGCCTTTATGAAACCTGAACGGTAGTGAGGGAAAAACACAAACAGATAACAATAAATTTGTAAATAAGCCTTGCAAAGGGTATTATGGAAGGCCTGTATGTGAACAGAAAATACTCCGTTGGAACTTGCTGTGTGCACCTTGCTGGGTACCAGCCTACAGTGCCTTGGGATGTTCTTTGAAAAAGCACATTTTACCAGCTAGAGAAGTTGAAACTGAAAGGAATATAACAGACCTTTTAGAATTAAAACCGCTTTTAGAATTAAAGCCACTTTTGCGTGATGGCCGCAGGTATGAAAATACATCCGCCTAGGCCTTCAAGTTCGTATGAAGACACTAATCACACGAACAAATTTTTTTTCAATAAAATGTGTTCCCTTTTCTCTTGTGAATCCATTCGATTTCATTCTCAGGCCCAACTGAGACTCTGAGGGTAAAGGAAGACATCCCCTCCCCCAGTTTAATGTATTCCACATGTATTGCTGAGTGTGCACAGATGTTTTGAGCAAAGCAAATGATAGTTAAATTCACCTTGTAGTAACTAGCAGTCCAAACGACCATACTTTGCAATGCTGTCCTGATATTCTAACTACACATTTCACCTTAAAAAGCCCCATTGCTTCTTTGACAAGAAATGACCCAGAGAGCCAATACCTTTTTATGTGGAGCCTTGAAGAAGTAATTCCCACAGACCTCAGAACAGAGGACGAGTAAGGATGTGTTCTAAGAGACAGACAGATTTTGGTAATATCTTAGCATGTCAGAAAAATAGTACACGGTTGTTTAGCAGTGAGAAGACATGGTTATGAGGCGGTCAGAAGAGACGTAGATTGGAGATGTAAGTCTAAGTTAGATTCTAAAGGAATAAAATGAGTAAGTGGACATCCTCATCAGATACAGACAACTCCAACTTTATAACTTAAGTAAAACCCATTTTGTGTGTAATTGTACCTATGCTGAACATCACCGAGGTCAGGATCAGAAATGGCTTTGCTTCATCTCTTGAAAGATTTTTATCTTGTTTCTAAACTGTTCCACAGAATGGAGTATATTTACCCTTGATAATTTCTATGACTTGCACACACCATGTATATACTGTATAATAGCCATCTGAATTAGATACTGTCTTTGTAATATGGAAGTAAGTGGGGAGCAGAGATGGATTTTCATGCCACTCAGTTAATAAGCCCCAGAACTACGTTTTAAATTCAGGTGCACTATTCTCAAAAGTTCATGCTTTTCTCTTGGCACCATCACCACCCCTCCCCACCTCCAGCTGTTCTTTAGCTTCTGGCAAGATTGCATCACATTAACTTCCCAAGGACCCATACCTTCCTTATGTTCTTTTGGCCATCCCTCAACAACATCCAGGCCCTAAACAACGATATTCCCTTGGGTTCTGCTTTGACGTTTTTTATTTTCTTGCTGTATGTGCTTTTGCTGTTCAACACCATCCATTCTTATGCAATATCATGGATATACAGCTGATTCTCATTATCCACTGTTGTGTTCCTCGAACTTGTCAAGAACACTAAATTATTGAACACTGAATTATTGCTGTTGAGAGATGCAAGGTTATGTCCTTGGCGTCTCTGTTTACACTTACCAGCTAATTGATACATAACCTTGCTCTGTGTCTGTTTCTGTGTAAAGACACCTTATTTAATATGTTCTATGGCTTCATTAACATTGATCTCATAGCCCCAGCACTATAATTCTTGAAGGAGGCTTACCTAACATGTTTTCTCTTGAAGGTACATCTGCTTAGGAACACTAGACAGCACTTCCACATTGCATTAGCAGGCAGTTTTACATAGATTCCAAAGGAGAAGTGTAGCTGGATTTTCTTTTCCACCAGCCTGGTCTCACAGCTACCTCAATCACAAATAAGTACACGGAGACTTATATTAACTATAAAACTATCGACTGGTGGCTTGGGTTTCTTATTGGCTAGCTCTGTCTTAATTATTAACCCGTTTTTATTAATCTATGTATTTCCACGTGGTCTTGGTTTACTGGAGAATGCCTGGCAAGTCCTCTCTTTCCTGGCTCTACATGATGACTCCACCTGCCTACATTTCCCAGAATTCTCCTAATCTCCTAGCCCTGCCTATATTTCCTGCTTGGCCAATCAGTCAATCAGTGTTTTATTCATCAACTAATAAGAGAAATTTATATACAGAAGGACACCTCCCATCAGAGAAGCACAGAATATGAAGGATGTGGCATTAAGTAAACTGCAAAAAGGGTTTCTTGTTTACAGTGGAAGAGCTGGAAAAGGTGTCACCTTGTTTGACCTCCTTTGGAAATAAGTTCATCCAGGAAATCAAATATTTGCTTCCTTGGGCATATCTGTATTTTGGGGTGAACAGCAACTTCTAGTAAGTATGTAATTCTGTATATATGCACTTTTCAAATAATTTGGAGTTACTGTATCTAGAATTTCCCAGCCTATTTTTCCAGTTTTCTTCTATTACTCCAGACCTACGTTTCTAATTGCTTTTTCAAATTATATTTCAATTTGCATGTCTCAAAAGCATTGCTGCCTCAACCCCAAACACTCTTCTTTCTCCTCCAAACTGCGACTTTTTGCTTCTGTTCCTTACAGTTATCATCATCTAACTTCTATTGAATATTAGTCATCTGGAGGTCATGGAGGCTTTTCATGGATGAGGTAAAACTTCCCAGTGCTGATGTAGTCTGGAGCAGTTAAGACTAGAACAAGAGCTTTTGAAGTAGATGTTGTGACCAACAGCAGAAGTTTCAACATTTTTCCTAGCTCAAGTGTAGCTCCAAGCAAAGTGTTCTAATCAGTGGGGTTGTCAGGGGAGAGGGTATATAGTTGACAGCTTCCGACCCAAGATATCCAGGCACCAAGAAAAAAGACCCACAGGTGTCAGTCACAATGTGAGGTTTTAAGAATATGTAGGACTTGCTTTGAGAAGGGTGAGGTGTGGCTTGAATGGAGAGGAGTGGAGAGATGGGGTGAAAATGACCAAGACCATAAATGAAATGCTAAAGAGTTTGGTTCTTTTGTGTGTGTGTGATTTTCTTTCTTCGTCTTTTTTTATTTAAGTTAGAAACAAGCTTGCTTTACATGTCAATCCCAGTTCCCTCTCCCTCCCCTCTTCCCCTGCCCTCCCCACCAGGCTCCCAGTCCCCCACCCAATCTACTCTCCAATCCCCCAGGAGGGTAAGGCCCTCCATGCTGGATGTCCAGAATCAGTCATGTCATCCATGGCAGGGCCTAGGCCCTCCCCCCAAGAGTCCAGGCTAAGAGAGCATCCCTCATTGTGAGATGGGCACTCAAAGTCTATTTGTACGCTAGGGATAAATACTACCCAAGGCCCCATAGATTACCTAGGCTTCTCACTGACACCCACATTCAGGGGGTCTGGGTCAGTTCCATGCTTTTCTTCATCCAATGACTGATGGAAGTAGAGGCTGACACCCACAGCTAAACACTGAACTGAACTCCTGGAATCCAGTGACAGAGAGGGAGAACTGATAAGCAAATGAGTTAAGACTAGGCTGGTTTGCTGGGCGGTGGTGGCGTACGCCTTTAATCCCAGCAATCGGGAGGCAGAGGCAGGCAGATCTCTGTGAGTTCGAGGCCAGGCTGAACCGACAGCCTCCAAAACAATACAGAGAAACCCTGTCTCCTAAAACCAAAAAAAAAAAAAAAAAAAAAGAAAAAGAAAAAAAAGGAAAAAAAAAAAAAAGACTGGGCTGGTTTAACCCACAGAAACAGTTGACCTGAACAAGTAAGAGCTCTTAGACCCCAGATTAAAGGGTTTGGTGGGTAAAAGCTAACCTCTGCATTTTAGCAATAATAACTGGTGTATTGACCAGATCAGCAGAGAGCAAGACCTCAAGTCTGAGGAATGCCAGAAGCATTTGGAGACACTTTCTGGGTAGAGACAGTGAGGCCATGAACCAAATCAAGCTTGTGATGGGATGGAGGTGGCATGTGGGCTCAGAGCTTCAGCACAGTTAGACCAGGTTTATTCCTGAAATATTGTTTGTGAAAATAGTGTACGTTGTTGGCACTATGACTATTTAAATCTTGAGATTTGATGTCTTCTTTTTATAACAATTAAACCTGACTGCATGCTTATCTAACCCTGATTCACGCAGCTTTAAGACGAGGCCTCCCTAAGTCGCATGGCTCGCTTGAAGTCCTAGGTTTGAACAATCGAAGCTAGTCCCAGGATTGAATTACAGGTGCCTATCAGCATACCTGGTTTCTACCTTACCATGCTTTATTGGTGGTTTCCACATGTGAGTCATGTGACAGTATGTTTATAGTAGCTACTCTGAAATTTGTAAACCTTGGGGTTACTTTTTCTTGCATCTTTGCTGTCTATTGAACATTTTTAAACGATATTATTGAGTCTCTGGATTCTGTCATCTTCCTCAGGAAAGGGCTGCCATTTCCATAGTTCTAAGATGTATCTACTTGTCTTAAATGCCATCCTGTAGTTCTTTGTGTGTTTCTGTGGAAACT